TATATATATATATATTTATAAAACCAACATGTTTATATTCTTTTTTTACGAAAAAAAATTATGTTTAAATAAATTAATATAAAAAAATGTATTACTTGAGCATTTTTCAATTTAAGAATTATCTTAAATTGCTTAAAAGATGATGTGGAGTAAACACTGCCAGTAAAATAATTACAGTGGAGTATATAAGCCAGTCTTATAATTAATATAATTTAAAAATTAATCTATAATATATGATTGGTTTTTTGGTTTAAAATTAAAGTTAAAAATGTTTAGTTTTTTTAGTATAAACAAGACAATGACTTTTACAAGCATATAAGCTTTGTGTTAATTTCTATATATCATTCCAAAATATGGTATATTTTTCTCATGTTAATGCTTTTTATTTTGTTTACACACTTCCATTTAAAAAAAAAAATAAATGTATTATAATTCAATGAATACTACAAACTAATTTAATATATTCTTTTTAATATGGTGCAAACTCATATTTAATGAAGGGACCATACGTATTCCAATTTTAAATCTACAGTTATTTTACTGTAGTACAGTATATAAAATTCAATATTCAAAAATTCAGTCCTACTTTAAATTATTTATTAAGTTCTCTCTCTTTTTTTTAAGTTAAAAACTTATATTATTCTCCCGAATACAAGACGATATTTATAATATATATATCGCAATATAAATATAACAAAAAAGAGTTCATGTTCCTATAAATTTATATAATATAAATTTAAAATTGTAAATAATGAATATGGTTCATATTTCGTATTTATTATAAATCGTTATAATTAAATAATATTATAAAATTATGTAATATGTAAGTTAAGCTAAATGCAATATATATTATGTTAATCAAACATTATTGCTTAAATTTTTCAACCTCACAGTAGAGCACAGTTTTAGTGGCCTCCTTTGTCAGGTAAAACCGACACGAAATATAAAATTTATTCAAATTACATATTTCCATATTTAAAAAATAGTAGAAGTAGTCGTTGTCAAAAAATAAATTAAAAATTGTACTGATTATGTATCTTTTCTTTCAGGAAACTAGTACGTCCCATCATACATGGGGTAACCATGGTCTACTTATTAAATCAACGAAATTTTTTATCTGGCCACATTGTATAACTAACTAATATTTCTGTTTTACAATTATTTAAAAATATATAACAAAATTTTGTCTTGTATCCGGGTGAATTGATTATCTCTTAAAATATTTAAAATGATAAATGATTTTATTCACTAATTAAAAATTTATAAATATATCTAAATATTGCTCAAATAACAAATATGTTTTTATCTACATTTTTAAAATTTCATATATATTTATCTATCTTTTTTGTAAAAATGAATACCACAAATGAGTTTGCAGACTTGCCAAAATTTATTAAGAATGAAATATTAAATTGTAGTATCATACATATGTATACAAAATGAATGTCAAATTTTATCTATTAGATATAAATGGCCCTGATATATATGTAAATATTATTATTCTATCACGATAAAATAATCATAGTGTTATATTTTATATTTTATGAAAAATATATTAAATTAAAATTATAATATAGGATTAGATTTAGATAACATTAATAAGAATAATAATATTCATGTTTCAAAGAATTATTTATGCATAGTTCTAATATATTATTTATATATTCTACATGCATATTTACTAGAAAAAGACTGATTTGTAAAAATTTTTCTCCAATTTTTGTTTAAAAGAACATATTTACAAAATGTAAAAATATTATGTGTAGTAATTCTTGTTAAACATGATAAAGAAAATAAATAAATAAAAAATAATAGAATTTATTTGCATTTAAATAATAAATAAATATATTATAAATAATTTAAAAATACTTTATAAAGTTACTGGATAATAAAATATTTTAAATCTTATTTAAAGAATAAGAGAAAAAAAATAATGATGGAACTCAGAAATACAGATAAGAAAAATAAAAGATATTGTATTTGCATCATATTTTCAAAATACTATCTGATGAAATGATGATAACATAAATAAAGTATAGAATAATATATTTAATGCATTTTTTTATCTGATCTTAACTATTTTAATATTATTCTAAATTTTACCGATTTGAATAAAATTATTAAAAAATATTAGAATAAAATTGCAATGTTAATTATATGGTTGAAATTTTTTCCAATTTCAACCATAAATTTCAACATAAAAAAAAAAGAATTAGAATAAATATTCTATTATATATATATATATATATTTTATATAATATTATTTATGAAATATTATATATAATATTGTTTATAAGAGTATTTAATTTTTTAGGTACATTGCAAAATCGAGAATGTAATTTTTTACATTAAAGGTTAAGATACATTATATTTTTAAAAAAAGAATGATGATAATGCATTCAATTGATATTTCATTTATAATCATTCGGTATGTGTCAAAAGCAAAGAAATATATAGAGCAATATAATTATATATGGAGACCAAAAAGCGAGAAAAGAATAGATATAAAATAAAAATATTGAAATCATAAAATAGAATAAAAATTAATTAGTGTTAACTTTTGAGTATCAATATTTTTTTAGAGACAGGATAAAATAGAATAAGAATTAAGAATCAATGCCATCTTTTGAATTTATCTTTAGAAAGATGATTCTTTAAAAAACTGTCTTTGATGGCACTGACGATTTTTTTATTCTATTCCTATTCTTTTTTCACAATTTTCTATTCTTTCTTTATACGTTTTATTTGCAACAATAAATTTAAAATAAAATTTCTTTATATATTTCAATGACTCTGAAGATGGCGCTGATTCCATAATTTTTATTATTTGTCTTACTATTTACTTTCTTATCTATATTTCGTATTTCGTGTTTATACTAATCTAAAGATGGCGATAATTCCTCAATTTTTCCTTTGTTCTCTCATTCTATATTTATAAATCATATACGTATGATTCATATCAGAAAATTAGAGGCACTGGCAAACGAGTACTAATAAAATTTTAATAAAATGGGTAAGGCAAAAGACATAAGTTCAGACGAAGATATAACTGTAGGTACGATTTTCTATTTGTTGAAAAATTAATTATTATTTATATTATTTATATTATTATTTATATATATATTATAAATAATTAATTATTTGATTTATGCATAAAAATGATAAAAGTAAATATTTTAATTTTTTCTTTTTATCAATTTCATCGTTGAGGTTAATATTTCTAGATAACTTAGAGAAACGACATCTTTTTATAAAAATATATTTTGTAAAAAATTAAACAGTTTTTATATGTATTTATGTCTATAATTATTTTTTATTAATTTTTATATTTATTTATTTGTTTTTTAGAAACTAATGAAGTATCTCCACAAAAACGACATAAGAAACATAAACATAAAAAGCATAAAAAGAAAAAAATTACTCATGATGATAATGATGGTTTTAATGATGTTACTGTTGAAACGGATAAAAAAAAAACATTTAGAGTTAAGATAAAAAAAGATGATGATAAAGGGTAAATAAAAAAATATAATAAATTGTTTTATTGTATATAATCGTTATATAAAATATAAATATTTATATTAATATGTTTAGTCTAGAAAAACCACGTGAAAAAATGCAGAAAACATCCAATCTTAACACTGTAAGTGCAAGTCCATCTCCAAAAACTGCTACAAAAAAAAAAGTTCTAAAAAATAATAAAGGTAAAGATAGTGGTACTAGTAGTGAAGAAGAACGATGGCTTGATGCAATTGAATCTGGAAAACTTGAAGAAGTAAATAATTCATATTTATAATGTTCAGTTTTTTTTTGTAATATTTGTATATTAACTTAATATAATAATATTTTTGTGTAAATCTTATTTGCGTTATTTATAAAATAAATAAATATATTTTATTTTAGGTTGATGATGAACTAAAAAAAATTAAACCAAAGGATCCAAAACTAATGACAGCACGTCAAAGAGCCATGTTTGAAAGAAAAACTGATACAGAACCAAATCCAGCCGTTGAACAACTCATGTCATTACCAACTGGTTACAAAGAAAAAGTTATGACAGCTGAAGCCATACAAAAAGCTGCTCTTAAGTCATTGAAAAGAAAACAGCTTGCTGATGAGAAGAGAGAAAAAGATAAGGTAATATAATCATTAAAATTAGAATTTTTAACTTTTATTTTTATTTTATAAAATAAAAATGATATGTACAATATTTTAAAATTACATTGTTACTTCTACAGAAAAAAACAATGGAAAGATTACTAAAAAAACAAGAATCTAAAGCTTCTAAAGTTATTAGTAAAGGAAAACCTTCTAGAAGACAAGTTCCTTTGGTTACATATCGTTTAACACTTGAAGGAAGTTCAATATCTTTACCACCTGGAGAAGATTTTCCATTACAACCTACAAAAGAGTAAATAAAAATAATTAATAATTTAAAAGATTTAATTAAAATATTATAAAATCATTATGTCATTTTTTTGTATTTTTCTTTTTCAGAAAAGAACCATCAATACAAATTCTTTGTGGTGTTAATCAATGTAAAAATTTAAAAAAATATTCATGTTCAAAAACTGGAATACCTTTATGCAGTTTAGAATGCTATAAAGCTAATTTATCTATATCTGTATAATATGTATATAATTATTTAAATACTTTATTAATTATTTAAATACTTCTTTTCTATTTTCTTAAATTTATCTAATCTTTATACGAAATATTTATTTTTTTATCATAAAAAAACAAATTATTTTTACAATTTCAATAAAATCTTTGTTAATATGAACATTAATGCAATAGAATTTATACTTTTATATAAATACTTATTATTGAGTTTCTTAAATATGAAAACAAAAGTATTATAAAATATAAAATATTTTTTTTTTACTTAAAAAAAAATATTTCACATTGAATTTTTAATATTATAATTAATTTGTAAATAATTCTGTATATATTATTATGTAATTATTTTATTGTAATATTTGTATATATATTTGAATATGTATTTGTCATATTCTAACTTGTAATTTAAATAAATGTATTTTGTAAATAAAAAAAACAAAAAGATATATGTAACAACTATTTATTTGAATATATGAAAATAAATATATTCATTATATTTACGTTTATAATTATATATATGAATATGTATTTATAATATTTTAATAGGAATAAAAAATTTGAATTTACATTGAATCTAACTTGTATAACTAGAAATAGCTTAGGCCTTGCTTTCACCATTCAAGATAGGTTCAACTAAGTCGCCGTATGATCGTGAAACGTGTAACATCGTCAGTGTTTATTTTAATCATCGATGGTTAGTGATTCGCGATGATTTATATAGTTCGATTATTTTATAATTGTCGATTTTTATAATTTAATAAATTTTAGTAAAATCCAGTTGATCTGGGTTAAAATGTGTTGGTTCAAGAATTTTATAGTTTTTATTATTTTTATTTTATTAGGAATATCAAAATCTCAAATAAAGGGTGAGAAAATAAACTTATCTTCTTTAAACTATAAAATATTTTTTATTGGTACAAAATTATAAAAGTGTAATACAATTAATACTATTATCAAAATTTATTTATTACTTTAGAAAAATATAAACTTATTTTCTTAAATATTTTTAACAAAATTATTGTTTTATTTAATATAAAAAAAAATAAATTATTAATTGAATATTATAACATAAACTTTATGACTTATAAAATTCAAATATTTTATTATTAATTTTATTACATAGCCAAATTATTACATAAAGATTTCTTTTTGAAATAAAATTTATGAATCATAAATTAATTTCATTACTTTTTTTTTTTTAATTAGATGGTAATTATCATGAATGTCTACGATCGTGTCTTGATAATGCACTTTCAAAAAAATTATGCCGTTATGAATTCTACGTTGGAGAATTGCCTAATACGATAAGGTAGGATAAAAATCTATAAATTCATCAATGCATTTAATGAACAAAAAGAATGCACTTTCAAAACTGTAATAAAATTAAAATAAAAACAACTAACATACTTTCGAAATATAAATTTTATACATGAAATCATATTAAACTAAAAGATAATATTATACATAAAAATTATATATTTTATATGAAAATAAATCAATGATTGATATGTTTGAATAAATTTAAAATAGAAAATATTTTTCTTGTTATTTTCGTCAATTTCAATGTGAACGAATATACAATTTCCAGTATAATCTACGAACTAACGGTTAATACGCTTGGGTACAGAATGTACTTTGATTTTTTTAATTTCCAACTGGTTCTTACATTACTAGTAGTTATTACGGACCTGTTTACACTACAGGCAGTAAAACTAAATAATGACATTCATAAATTTTGTGTAAAGACTTTAGCGTAAAACTATTATTGAAATTTTATTAAACTTTTTCTAAAGAAAAATAGGGCAAAATTTTAGAGAGGAAGATAGGATACTTAATTGAAGATTTATTTATTAATTGAATAAGATTTTGATAGAAATTTATATAATTGCGATTTTTAATAGAATTTTATTATAAATATCAGGTACAATTTCAACTTTATTTATAATTTCCTGAAATTTATGTTAAGAATAATATATCGTTAATTGGTTCATTTTTTAAAAATTGATTATTGTTTAAATTCATAGTCATAGTTTTTAAAATTTATGCCAAATATAAACGTACAATTAAAAATGTTTTTAAGATATATATTGGTCAAATTTAATTCTTATTATTATTTACAGCATTCATAATAGTTCTGAAAGTAAAAATGAATCAATGATTGACAATAAAATAATATTATCGAAAATGTTCTTAGGAATTAATGGAAGAAGTCCGGGACCTCAAATAGAGGTAAAAATTTTAAAATTAATTTCTACGTTACAATTATATCATACTACATTAAATTACAAATTTAATTTTTAGGTATGTGTCGGAGACACAATAGAAATTCTTTTATATAATAGATTAGGATCTGAAGAATTATCTTTCCATTGGCATGGATTACGACAAAAAAATTTTGCTCATATGGATGGTGTTCCAATGGTTACACAATGTTCCATATTACCATTTGGAGGTTTTCGATATAAATTAAAACCGGAAAATGTTGGTACATACATTTATTATGCCCATATAGGTAAATATATTATAATTAAATAAATTTAAAATAAAAAAATTATTAAATGCAAGAATAATTAATTAAAACAAAAATATATTTAAATCATTTCAATTTTCCCGCGCTGTAGAATAACTTCTACCTCTGTGAGGCAAGCAAAATTAAAGTAGATCAATATCTTGAAACCGTGTAGAAGTTAGGTTACATTTTACGTCTGGTGTTTCAAGAAAAGTGATGTATATCAAGTGTCAGAAATATTATTTTTTTTAACACATTTTCTTAAATTTACTTTACATTGTATAATCAAGTGAAATATGATAATAATTTTGTATTTTTAAAACAATAGTAGAATCAAATTTAATAAGACTATCTATCCAGAATGATCAGGTATATTAAGGCATTTATATAATTTTGAATTCTATGAAAAATTAAAAAAATTAAATTTTTTATTAGAAATTTTTTAATTTTTTCTTTTTTTTATTAAAATTAATTGAAAAATAAATTCATTTGCATGTCTTTTTATAGCATTTATATATAATTATTTTTTTTTATAGTTTTTTTAATAAAATATAATTAAATTTATATATAAATAATTTATTGTATATGTTATCATATAAAATAGATAGAATTAAATTCAAAAAATAAAAAAATATAATGAATTTAAACATATTTGTATATAAATTTAGATGAGATGACAGGTTACATTTAATATGGGCGAAAAATGAACTCGTCCAAATTTCGTTCTTGTTAACGCTTTATGTTATTGTCTTATAAAAAAAAAAGATAATTAATAATAATTAAAAATTTCAATATACACAAAAAAATAAATAAAAAATTCAAAATTTTTATGAAATAATATTTGTAATCTTAAAATAAGTAGACTTTTTTGAATGAATATAAACTACCGTAAATGTTTGTTATAGAACATCATTTCGATCAATATTGTAATGAAATAAAACAAGATTAAAACAGAAAATTAATAAAATTAATAAAATTAAAAAAATAAGTCTAGTTTTAAAATTGAACAAACAGTGAAGTTTTGACTTTGAAATTGATTATTCATTATATTAATCTAAAATTGAACTTTTTATTATTGCAGATGCATTAAATTGAAATGATGTATTAACATTAAAATTTTTCAATCTATTTGATTTTTTATATGTATAATATTCTTCACAATATAAAATATTAAATCTAAATATTATTTTAAAAAAATTTTTGATTAACAAATATTCACTTTCTGTGAATTATTATATTCTATAAAATTATTTATTTTGTTAAATTTACATTTAAAAAAAACGTAACCATATTAGATTTGTTCATAATAACAAAATGAAATAATAGTATGGTAATGGAATGTAAATTCTTTTATTAATCACAAAAATAACGAAAGCATTAATGATGTTGGATTATTAGTTTCACAGCAGGGCGACGGTATATACGGGTCGTTGACAGTTCGAGGACCACAAGATGACCCTAGCTTGGAAAGGATACTTCTCTTGTCATCAAGGCCGCCAACTCCACTGTCGCGGTACTCGCATCTACATCCACCTACGCCCAGTGAACTCCTCTTAAATGGCCAGGTATTGTTTTATTTAATTAGACAAGATGTCATATAACGAGCAAAGAAAAATATAATTTTGAATAAAAGATATTTATTCAAAATTTTTATTTGAAAAAATGAACTTATTTTTAGGATAAAAAATATAGAAATAAGAATAATTTTTATTCTTTCTTTCTTTTTTTATTTTCATAGGTATTCGTTAAACAAAAAATTATCAAAAGATACCAAACAATAATACAAATAAATTTTATAATAATATTTCTTCAAATATTTTTTTTTTTACCATCAAATTTTATGTAATTAATTAAATATAATTTAATAATAGCTTATAATAGCTTAAAAAAGATAATTTTTCAATACTAATCATTGAACATGACATTCTTTAAAAAATATTTCAATTTCAAAAAAAGCTAGAATTCATCATTTTAGTTCTATTCGTTAATCCATATCAAGGTTGTATAATATCGATTACGTTATTGAAATGAGAACTTTCTCTGATGTTACATTTTTTTAAAATCATATTTAATAATTAATTACTTAATACTTAACTAGTATTTTTTTTTTTTTTTTAGAATAACGGATTTATCTTTGAAGTCCACTATGGAAGAAAATATTTATTCCGACTTATTAACGCGCATGCATACAATTGTCCTGTACTATTATCCATTTCTGACCACGATTTTCACGTGTTGGCTATTGATGGCAACCCGGTTGAACCAACGATTGGTAGACACATCGTTTCCTTTCCAGGTATGCAGATTCCGTCTACATATATTATGTGTTTTACTCATTCGGCACACGTAAGATATGATCCTTGTACGTGCATGTCGGATACGTAAAACACTCATCCGAGATTTTATACGTCGACCTCGTCTCCTGCATTTTTGTGCGCACAATTGTATTCGAAGCTTGAATGAAAGCGAGCAAAAGAGACGAGAAAGAATTGCGATCGATGGAGACGAAATGAAATTGAAATAAAATAGAATATGCTATGAAATATTATATTTCATTTTAAAATATTTTATTCGAAAAATAAGATATAGGATAAAAATTCAATCATTTATATTTTGATAAATTAAAATTTGTGAAATATCATGAGATCGTAAACAATAATAAAACCATAATGATAAATATGAACATTGCCAGTTTGAATAAATTTATCATTTTTTTACTAATTATTTACTATTCATAATGGATAGTAATTATATTTTTACAAAAAATATAAAAGCATAATGGAATTAAAATAAAAATATTAATAGAGATCATATTTTCAATAATTTATGGTTGAGATAATTTTGATAAATGGATGGATAGCGAAAGAACAAATATGTAAAATTGCTCTGATTATTTTGTGTAAATCCGAAAATTTACATAAGTGATATAAACATGATTATTTCACAACAACATTTATTTTGGAAAAACCATAACAATATTGTAAGAATCATAAATTAAAACAAACAAAGGAAATTGCAGGCTACGCGAAAGAAGAAACGACAAAAGAAAAGAAGATGATACGATAAAGAATGAGAAAGAACAAAGATGGAGTAAGAAGAAAGGAAAAAAAATGAAAACTGTTCAACGAAGCAATAACTGATGAGAAATAACAAACAGAAAATAAATATTACTACTGGTGGAAAATATAAAAAAGGCGACGAAAATTCGAAAAATGATTTTATAATAAAAATATATATTTTTAACAAAATGTAAACAAAACGTAAGTAAACTACTTTCTTTTAGATTCATTATAATTCACATAGAAAGCATGGTTTTTATTTTTTAAGCAAATATTATTTAAAAAAATCATTCTTTTAAAATTTAAATTTTTGCCGCCTTTATTGAACTTCTAACCAGTATACGATGATGGAATTGGAGAAGAACGAAAAACGATGAAACGAGGCGCAAGGTCGTTTGGTAAACAAAGAGGAAGGGATTGCGAACAGAGGGTACACGCAACGAGGCCGGAGAGAAGAAATGCGAAAGGGAAAGGGGAAAAGAAAAAGACAGAGCGAGAGAAGGAAAGGATGAAACCGCTTGGCGCTCATATACGTTTAGCGATGCGGCGTGCAGCGGTGACCGACTCGTTCGCGCAGACTCGGCC